CTAGAGTGAGGACATCATGCGGTCCCCCCCCATGCGGTCACCCCCCCATGCGGTCACCCCCCCATGCGGTCACCCCCCCATGCGATCACACAGAATATAGGGCAGCTCATTACCTGCAAACTGTCTGATGGCGTCCACAGGGAGTCACAGAGCCGACAATCTGCGGAGAGAAGAAGACGACGGATGTCAGACACTGACCAGGAGAGACAGACACTGACCAGGAGGGACAGACACTGACCATGAGGGACAGACACTGACCATGAGGGACAGACACTGACCATGAGGGACAGACACTGACCAGGAGGGACAGACACTGACCAGGAGGGACAGACACTGACCATGAGGGACAGACACTGACCAGGAGGGACAGACACTGACCAGGAGAGACAGACACTGACCATGAGGGACAGACACTGACCAGGAGAGACAGACACTGACCATGAGTGACAGACACTGACCATGAGTGACAGACACTAACCATGAGGGACAGACACTGACCAGAAGAGACAGACACTGACCATGAGGGACAGACATTGACCACGGGAGAGAGACACTGACCAGGAGAGACAGACACTGACCAGGAGAGAGAGACACTGACCATGAGGGACAGACACTGACCATGAGGGACAGACACTGACCAAGAGGGACAGACACTGACCAGGAGAGAGAGAGACACTGACCAGGAGAGAGAGACTAACCAAGAGGAACAGCCACTGACCATGAGGGACAGACACTGACCATGAAAGAGAGACACTGACCAAGAGGTACAGACACTGACCAGAAGAGACAGCCACTGACCATGAGGGACAGACACTGACCAAAAGAGAGGGACACTGACCATGAGGGACAGACACTGACCACAAGAGACAGACACTGACCATGAGGGACAGACACTGACCACAAGAGACATATACTGACCAGGAGAGAGAGACTAACCAAGAGGGACAGACACTGACCAAGAGGGACAGACACTGACCAAGAAGGACAGACTAGGGTTGCCACCTGTCCAGGATTCACCCGGACAGTCCGGGTTTTGAATGCTGTGTCCGGGTTTCATGGCAGCTGAAACGCGGACACAAGATGTCAGGCAGACAGGGGCAACCAAAATTAAGACAGGGGCTACTGGCTCCCCACTGGAAATAGTCTCAACTGTGATATTTACATATGAATGGGTGGCGCTATTTTCATATGGATAAGCCACCACTCATTCTCCCCCCCAAAAATGTCCGTGCGTCGCTAGAGTGTTTGGGTTTCGCTGGGAGAAAAGGTGGCAACCCTAGGACAGACCCTGACCATGAGGGACAGACCCTGACCATGAGGGACAGACCCTGACCATGAGGGACAGACCCTGACCATGAGGGACAGACCCTGACCATGAGGGACAGACACTGACCAAGAGAGACAGACACTGACCAAGAGGGACAGACACTGACCAAGAGGAACAGAGACTGACCAAGAGAGACAGACACTGACCAAGAGGGACAGACACTGACCAAGAGGAACAGACACTGACCAAGAGAGACAGACACTGACCAAGAGGGACAGACACTGACCAAGAGAGACAGACACTGACCATGAGGGACAGACACTGACCAAGAGGAACAGACACTGACCAAGAGAGACAGACACTGACCATGAGGGACAGACACTGACCAGGAGAGACAGACACTGACCATGAGGGACAGACACTGACCATGAGGGACAGACACTAATAACGAGGGACAGACACTGACCAGAAGAGACAGACACTGACCAGAAGAGACAGACATTGGGCATAACACACTCACAGTGACCAGAAGAGACAGTCCAGGAGTCACAGACCAGGAAGGAGGGTCCCTGAGCAGTGTTGGGGGTCCCTCACCAGTGGAGGTGTATTGCTGGCTCACGGTGCCCAGTCATAAGAATGCCCCATCCCCCTCCACCCACTGCCAGTTATTTCTGACTGTCCGGGAACAGCTGAGGGTTATGGGAGGCAGGGAGGGATCGGGCAGCTGTCACATCACACATACGCCTGCTCAATGTGCGTCCAATGTGCGCCCTCCAGATGACCATCCAGGCCAACGACCCCAACCCAATCTTCAGCCCATTCAACTTTACATTGGTAGTCCTTGTTTGGTTCTTTCACCAAACATATAAACATGACATATAAAATTCAGGCCCCGAACTGCTAAATATGACTATGGGGGGTCGTCTATATATTTTGTATCTGGACTGACAATGAGGAAACCACCAGAAACGCGAGTAAAAGTCAAATTATAACCTGAGGGGCGTATTTATAAATAGTGAATAATGTGTGCAGTCATTTTGGTGTCACCCCCTATGAAAAGTCGGGCACTCGGTCACGGCAGTGTCAGGAGAGCGGAGGAGACCTGGCGGCATACCTCATCCTGCTGGGTGAACATCCCCTCCTTTCTCTGCCGGCGTCCATCACCAAGATGGCCACCGGCAGGCGTCAATAGGAAGACCGTGCATGCGCGATGACATCAATGCTGGGTGTCACCCGGTCTCCGCTCCGGGTGTCACCCAGCCTCGGGACGCCCCTGGACAGACTGCATCTTATATGCCATTTTTTATTTTGCCCGGAGAAGAGGAAGAAAGGACTTGGATAGTGATGGGAAAACACACATTAAATTTGCATTGATGACAACTCAGCATTCCTTTCTAAGTACCTCCCAGCAGGTCTATCATTTGCCAAACGTGTCACCCTCCATAATTAGACATGACTGGAGATTCAACCCTGAACGTTTTGGTTGCTGATGCGATTTGTGGAGAAAATAAGGGTGGCGTTGTGTTCAGTACTACTCCTCTATTCTCTTCACACAGTTTGGAGTTTGTCAGACCTCACCATCGTCACAAGGTCAGCCTCAGATAAACATCTGTCAGGACTGGTTAATAAGTAACTGCTGTCAGAGGGTTTGTGCTGCTTGTTTAAAATTCGTTACTTCCTGTAGATTCCTGGATGGGAAGGGGGTTTAACACCGCGGATGTCAACTGGTTAAGGAAACAATCTTGAGATAAGACATAAAACAAGAAAGCGTTATGCATGTGAGGAAGTCAGTCACTCGATACCGGTCACAGCAATAAGTGCCGAGCAATGAGTTATGAGCAACAGATGGCATCACGGGAGGTTAGATACATTTAATACATTTCTTCAAAAAGTGCCCATTAGGCCCCGTTCACATTGAGCGATTTATCGCGCGGTAATTCCCGCGATATCGCGGCTATTTACAGCGCGATATCGCTCTTCAATGCTTTGCAATGGGGCAAAAGGTCCTGCTGTCGCGGGTCGTGTGTCGCTACAGCAGGACCCTTTTTGTAGCGGTAATTTTGCCGCGATTCAATGCTTTTTAATGCAAGTTTTTGCGCAATATCGCGCGACAAATCGCGCGATATCGCGCAAAATGCAAATCGCGCGACAAACGCGCGATTTGCGAATCGCCAAGTGTGAATGGGGCCTTAAAGGAGAACTATGGGGTCAGGACTTTTCCCCATAGTTCTCCTTAGGGTAACGGGAGGACACAAACTAGCGTCCTCCCGTCACCCTAAGCTCAGTATATAGGGATCTACAGCTCGCGGTATACTGAGACGCCGCAGCTGAAGCGGATCTCGGCATTGATGTCGAGATCCACCCAGCTGCGTGAGTGACAGCTGGCTCTGCCTATCTAGAGGCAGAGCCAGCTGTACCCGCCACCTCAGAGCGGGAAGGGGGGAATCCAGTCCCTCCCCTGTCACGGCTCTCTGCAGGGAGACGATCGAGAAGTGAGCGAGCGTCGGTATGTGTTCGCTCACTTCCCAATCTACGGAGCCGACCTGTGACAGTTTCATTGTCTCAGGTCGGCTCAGATTATGAGGCTGAGTGAAAATCACTCGCCTCATAATTCTACTTAAAGTGCGTGTTATCTTCCCCATTATAATGTATCATCGAGCTTATTTTTAGGAAAGAGAAAAAGCAGCAGTGTTGCGCATCGCAACTAATTGTATTGCATCGATTTCCTTGCCTATGAGACCCGCCTCTCCTCTACATAACTGTGTACATGGCGCCCTCTCCTGGTCAGAATGGAGAACTGCAGCCTTGGAATGGTCAGGGGAGAATGCAGCAGAGCCAGCTCACCTATAAAGTACACCTGAGCAGGCAGAAATATCCAATCAAAGGATTTCCAATAATCCCGGATGACTGTTGATAAAGTATGTGAAGATCAGATGGCAGAATGATAAGTGGACAAGCTGGAAGGTTCAATTATTCATCGAGAGAGCAGGAGACGGTACGGAGATGTCCAGAGACTTTGATTACTTGTATTATTGTTATTATTATACAGGATTTATAAGGCGCCGACAGTTTGAGCAGCGCTTTACAATATAAGGAAGACATTACAATTACAATGCAAGTCAAGACAAGATGGTAAGGAGGGCCCCGCCCCTGAGGGCTTACACTCTAAAAGGGAGGGAGAAGTGATACACGAGGAGGTAGCTGTGTGGGGATGAATTGTTTGAGAACGTGATGGTTGAGTGGATAGGTTGAGGCGGGATAGGCTTCCCTGAAGAGATGAGTCTTAAGGGATCGACTAAAGGCAGTCAGAGTGGGAGACAGACAGGTTGGGGTAAAGAGTTCCAGAGGATGGGAGAGACTCTAGAGAAGTCTTGGAGGCGAGCATGGGAGGAGTTGACGGGGGAGCTGGAAAGCAAGAGGTCTTTGGAAGAGCGGAGGCAGGGCCGGCCTTAGGCCTTTAGGCGCCCTGTGCGAGAAAGCTTTACAGCGCCCCTCAGTGGCCACACCCCTGGGGGGGCGGACGAGGGAGCGCTGTCATCGGATGGCCAGCGCCCAGGGGTGGAGGGGAGAGAAGCCGCCCCCAGGACGAGCTGTGTCGGCCGCACGGCGCCCTTGTTGCCATGGCGCCCTGTGCGGCCGCACTGCTCGCACACCCCTAAGGCCGGCCCTGAGCGGAGGGGGCGGTTAGCGTAATACTTGTAGAACTAAAGATACAAATGATCAGCTCCTGCTCCTCAATATTCTTCAATAGGAGAGTTCTAAAAATATTTGTAGTTACTTAGACTGACACAATGTGGCCAATAATATGTGGACACCTCTCCAAGTGGGGGTTTACAGGGCACTGGCACTGCTACAGTATACAAAGGACATCATAGATAATTGGGCTCTTCCAGCCTTGTGGTAACAGTTGGGCGAAGACCCTTTTCTGTTCCACCATGACTGTCCCCTGTGTACAAAGCCAGCTCCATAAAGACACGGTGTGACCAGTGTGGTGAGAAGGAACTCCAGTGTCCGGCACCAAGCCCTGACCTCAACCCTACTGAACATGACTGTCCCCTATGTACAAAGCCAGCTCCATAAAGACACGGTGTGACCAGTGTGGTGAGAAGGAACTCCAGTGTCTGGCACCAAGCCCTGACCTCATCCCTACTGAACATGACTGTCCCTTGTGTACAAAGCCAGCTCCATAAAGACACGGTGTGACCAGTTTGGTGAGAAGGATCTCGAGTGTCCTGCTTCAAGCCCTGACCTCAGCCCTACTAAACACCTTTGCGATAAAATAGAAGCCCTGCCCCCTCTCCCCCCAAATGATGGCGTTCAGGTGTCTCCACTGAAGAGTTCTGTTAATACTCCATCATAGAAAGACATTGTAGACAATTGTGCTCCTCCAACCTTGTGGCCACCGTTTGGTGAAGACCCTTTTCTGTTCCACCATGACTGTCCCCTGTGTACAGAGCCAGCTCCATAAAGACAGGGTGTGATGAGTCTGGTGTGGAGGAACTCGAGTGTCCTGCACAGAGCCCTGTCCTCAACCCTACTGATCACCTTTGGTATGAATTGAAAGGCTGAATATGAGCCGGGTCTTCTCACCCAACATCAGTACCTGACCTCACATATGAATCAACAGAAATGTCCCTGCACACCATACAGCAATCAAGATCTTTGATGCTTGGGAATAGCAATGGTGCTCTCAGTGATGTCCACGGCTGGCGCTGTGCAAGTCCAGAGATGATAGCAATGAAGATCACCAGCACTCGCAAATGGAATAAATCCAAAAGTTATTTTTATTGTACAATAACGTCACATGTATCATATAGCCAACTTTTTGGAACCGCGCAGGGTCCCCTCAACAAGGCAAGCATAGTGACCTCACATATGGGCACAAATTCCCACAATGCCCTCCAAATAGGGTTGCCACCTTTCCGGGATTCACCCAGACAGTCCGGGTTGTGAATGCTGTGTTCGGGTCCCCCCCCCGGTCTGAAAATAGTCTCAACTGTGCTATTTACATATGAATGGGCGGCGCTATTTACATATGAATAAACCGCGACTCATTCTCCCCAAAAAAATGTCTTGGGGTCGCTAGAGTGTTCGGGTTTTGCAGCCCTACCTCCAAAATCCCATGCAAAGCCTTCCCAGTGTCCCACTTGGTGTCCACTATTTACATATGAATAAGCCACCGCTCATTCTCCTAAAAAAAAGTCAGCGCGTCGCTAGTGAGTTCGGGTTTCGCTTGAAGAAAAGGTGGCAACCCTATCTCCAATATCTTGTGCAACGCCTTCCCAGTGTCCCACTTGGTGGCCCAGTTATGGCCCACTGTGGTACGCTGATAGCCCATTCAAATGAATAGGCTGATTTAATGCAATGCGTGTTAATAGGTGACATAGTATGCGCGCAGTAGTCGCACTGCAGAGAACCTCTCCGGTGTAAATGGGCCCCAAAACCGATTCTTATAAGCACCTCAGCAGTGTTTGATGTTTTGCCGAACCCCTATAGCTGTCACTTTTGCTGGACAGCTTGGCAAGTACTGGCAGGAGCACCATGTCATAGAACTATGTTATAGGGGGCACTCAGGAATCAAAAACTTCCATGATAATGCTGCAGACAGACTTCAACTTATGTGTCAGTTTTTATTTTCCACTGTAAACGGATCCATGCACGTATGACTCATATGGACACCACGTATGTACATAGCACAGGCCAGGCTAAAGTGTGAAAGTTCAGTGCAGGTAATAATCATCAGTGAGTGGAATATGGTTTCCAGGAAGTCAACTGCTAGTGTTTTCCAGTCAGATGGGCGGAGGGAGGAGGGGCCCCTGTCCTCACCCGTCTACGAAGTTGAATTACAAGTCCTACATTACTGCAGAAAAGACAAAATAGCTGACCTCATTTGGCTCAAGGCCACGTTGAATTAATTCACGTCGGGTTTTTTTTTTTTTAAGGCGGGAAAAAGGGCAGGAGGAAGAAAAAACAAGCAAATCTCTTTCACTTTCAGTTACAAACTTGCAGATACATTTCCCTTAAAGAGGGAGACGGAGTTGAGGTTGGCATCTTCTGAGACACCACATAGGGGAGGATGGCACAGACCGTGCGAGATGCCATGCTCAAGGCCTTGGATGACTTGGGTGAGAAGAGCTTCAAGAGGTTCTGTAACAAAATAATGGACTGGAATATTGAGAAGGGCTTCAACAAGATCCCCAGAAGCAAGCTAGAGAAGGCAGAAACCGACGATGTCGCGACTCTGATCCTGAGTTTCTACATGGACTCTTATGGAGCAGAGCTGATGGTGGATGTTCTACATGCCATCAATGAGAAGCAAGTGGCCACGGACCTTAAGACGGACCTGGACAATGGTAAGGCTGGCCATAGGTTTTAGATGGTCATTTGTATATGGGGCTATTGCTGACCAATTAGCAGATGCTTGCATCTCATTTATACACAGGTGCTATAGAGTTGGTTTGCTTCAGGGTTTGTGTCAATGGCCTTCGATGGGCTAATGCTCTTGACAGACGCTTCGGAGATGATTCAGAATTCAATACAGGTGCAGTTGACCTGCATTTGGCTTGCATTTGACCTGATTCAGCTGCTTTTGCATTCCTATAGACTTGTAAGGGGAGTAGGGATGAGCTTCGGGTTCTGGTCAACCATGAGATTGACCCAAAACCCAAGCTGTTTGATGGAGGTTCCTCAGCAAACCTCAGTCTGTGTCATATCAGCCAATGGTGCTATACGTCTGGGCTGCTAGCATCCTAGCAAACAATGACATGCGGATCGCTCAGCGCCATTGGTTGCTAACACACAGTCGGCCCTGGGTTTGGTTAACTTGGACGTACACTGAACCTGGATTTCTGGCTGTCTTCAGCGGATGTCCAACCAAACCTGAACCCAGTCATGTTTGGCTAATCGCTAATGGGGAGAGAAGCAATTCTGAAGTGAACAAAAGCCCATCAATACCGACCCTTTAATTTATGAGTGTTCGCAGGAAGATCTGCTCTCCTGGCCCATATCCACCAATCAGTTCCTCCTCTGGGAGAATGAAAAGGATGAGCTGAGCTACCACGGACAGCAGGAACTGCTCTTCCTTCACCAAGCTTTAAAACAAAATCCTTATTTTAGCCTCGTGAACCTCGTTGGATTCATGTGAAAACCTCAATTCTGCAATATTTTAATTCATTCCCAGACACTTCCTTCCCTTTTTAGCCCCATATCAAAATACGTTCCATGGTTGATCTTTTAAAAACAAGCAATTGTTTGATGGCAACAGATGTTGCCAGGCCAGTTCTTAGGAGAAACCTATTAATTTATTTGCATAAATGTGAGAATCCTCCCAAGATATGCAAAAGTGGAACCTTAGCTCCCGCCTAGTTGACTGTAATCAAGAGCTTTCTGGATCTAATAAAAGCTGGTAACCCAGGTGGTTCTGGCCAGTATGTTAACTCCAACACACCTGCATCAGTCATTCCTATCTAATCTACTCTACTGTGACACCGGTCTAAGGGCTTGTACTGATGGGCGTTGGGTTTGTATCCTTTGGATAAAAGGGGAAATCCTCCGCACACCTTGCAGCAATCTAGGCCTATGTAGACAATGGTGCTTGTAGTGATGAACACGGATGGCACCGTGCAGACACAATATAGGAAAAGGAATCACCAGCACTCAGTAGAATAATCCAACATGTCCATTTATTGGACATAGACATCACACAATCACAAGAGCCAATGTTTCGAGACCACGCCGGGTCTCTTCATCAGGGCATAAAGAGTGACTCTTTATGCCCTGATGAAGAGACCCTGCGGGGTTTGTATCAGAGGCATCAGTTTGAGAAACTTCTGAGACAATTCAGAATTCAATGATAGGTGCACTTGACCTACTTTTGATCTGCATTTGGCTTGCTTCAAGCAGGTTGTACATGTTCATAGAGTTCGGAATGCAAAACCCGCTTGAAGTGAACAAATGACACAGGCCCTAGCTCTGCCAAGGTCTAGCACACCCCCCCACTGAGTCTAACCAATAGCACTGCAATCAGCTGATCTTATGCTTCCAGCTGATTGGAGAGCTCAAGATCTGACTCAGCAGGGGAGACCACTGCTTCCACACACGGCTCTTTCTCTGCAGCATGCTGACTGGATATAGGCTTTTTTTTTTACACGGAATGTGAATGCTTTCTAAATAAAAATGACCTGTGAGACTTTGCAAAACATTTGTTTTGATGCCCCTAAAATGGATTTATTTGACTTTATTGACTGAAAGTCCAGTTGAACTTTAATTACCCCCCCCCCAAAGTACACCTGTCGTGATAGAAGTATTGGGGTGGCTTGATTCTAAAAACACATTTTCCTGGCTCTGACTTGTTTCCATGCTTATGAGTTGCTAACACGGAACAAGCATTCAGCAATCGAGCCGATAACGAGAACTCCTTGGGGTCATCAGTTCAGAAAATGTTAGAGCCAAAGTTCAGAGAGTCGCAGAAGTGCCATTATCAGGAATGATTAGCAGTGGTATGCCCTATATGTCCCTGGTGAAGATCTGTATGCAGGCTATTTCCCTGTTGGAAGATCTGTAAAGCCAACCAATGTTCATATTCAGGGAAAGTGAGGGGAAAAAACGCCACAACTTGGCACCGTTCCTGGAAAGCTCAGGCTGTGTCAGATCACCGGGCTGAGCAGATACCTCAGAAGACTTACCAAGGATGGGACTTTCCCGGAGAGGTTTATGTTTATGAGGAATTCATAATATTTGCAGAAGGTCAGATACACTCCAGCTGGGAGATGACAGGATGGTGCATGCAGGAGAGAGGCATATACAGTAAAGACATGGAAACCCCTTGTCACTTAACCAGTTCAGCTCTCACCCCTGTATACCTTTTATTGACTTTGTCATTACTTGAAGAACTCCGGGGAAAAATGATCTTAGCCCTTTGCAGTAGGGCTGTAAGGGTAAGTTGCTCGTTTTTGTCCGGGAGCAAAGATAGCAAAGTTATACTCACTGAAACTTTGCAGCCGGCTGGCTACTAGAGTGGTCCCTGAAGCCTCCTAGAGATCCAGCGATGGAATGGCCCTCAACGTCCTCAAGTCCTATACACTGTATTGGATGTGATGATTCAGGGATCCGTAGACAGCTGGAGCGGAGCGGGAGACAAGCTGAAGGGACCGGTCTAACAGCCAGCTGGCTGCTAACCGCTTTTCTATTCAAAATACCAAATGTAATAATTGAAACATTTAAAACACTTTCAGTAGTTCATAAGTACAATTTTTTAAATAGAAGTCTATACATCAGATATAAATGAGGGACAACCGAGGAGTTAAGAGGGGCAGAGGGATTTGGTTTCAAAAGAGGGGTTATCCATAGCAGCCAATCACGTGTGAGTGTACTGTAATCAGCTATCTTTTTTTATAATTCTATTGCACATTGGCAATCTTTGCAATACTATGCTGAATGGAAATTAAAGCATATATATATATTTGTGTATTGAAAAATAAGATTTCTGTTGCAAGATGTTCGGATAGAGAGACTAATGCCCACGCTTCTCTCTTATATTCTTTTTCAGTGAACAGTTTTAGCTGGAGAAAGAAGCCCAAGGCGGAACCCCAATCTACTTCGGAGGGTGAGCATTATCAGAGCAGGTCCTGTCCCCAATGTTCTGTGAAGTAGGCTTCTTGCCATAAAAGAATAAGCCCCCCCCCAGCTAGCGGCAAGGTCCCTCAGCCTTGTACATATATAATGAGTTCATGGGCTCAAAGTGTGTTTAGCTCATTGAAGAGTGGCCAGATGTTTCTGGTCTCCTGCGGACATTTGTCCCTGTTTGACTGGAGACCCAAATTGCTTTAGTGTTGGCAACGCTGGTCAGATCATTATAACTTCAATGAAGGGGATAGCGTTATCCTACCAGTCAAGTATTCGCAATGGCCCAACATGTAGTCAACTACTACAGAGCCCGTGGGTGGTAAAACATGTTAGAGGAGAACAGACCTTGAGAAGCACTGAGCGGTATCTGGTTGGAGTCAATACATTTGTTTTTATTGGAGTTATGGCATCAGAGTGCGGCTCTTAGGGACTTACAGACATTAATAGTAAAGAGGTTTGTTGGATTGGACCTGCCACTAGATTTCTTTGCTCCCACTTCTTACAAGAAGTCCCGGCCGGCCCACCACCCCTCACCTCTGAACATTGGTGGGTCAAAGGGAACCGGCTAGATGGGCTGCAAATCTGTTTTGACACCAACCTATTCTTTCTTCCCTCCATTCCATTTCAATGTGTGAGCAGTTTCATCGTCTTCAACCTGTATTGACTTGCTTAGCAGAGCTGTTCTAATAAATACTTCTTCCAAGTTAGACTCTGAAAATAGAATGTGACAGGCAGACAGCTAGTAATACATAAATATTTCCATTTATGTATTATGGGTGAAGCGATTCACTGCGGACATTCCCTATTGAGTCTTCAATGCTATCTGCAGGTTTGGTTGTGGAGATCCCTCCTTGCTGATAGACCACCAGTGACAGGCTTAGCTTGGCTTTTCCTATAGATAATTGTACAGTATTTATAAATCTTCCTTCCTTATGGATTCTTCTCAAGTCAATAGGTAGAGTTTGCTTTGGGCCAGTGACACAAGTAGCTCCACTGGAAAGCCAAGCTGTGCTGTCTGAACTAAATGCGTTGCTCCCACCAGAGTAAGGCACCAGTTCCAGAAGAGGGCATAGATGTTTCCCTCCTTCATCAGCCCTAACAATTCCGTAGACTGTAGTCGCTGGGCAAAAAGATGTTCAATAGGAGATTCAATCCTGCAATAAAGCAGGGGTCCTCCTGAAGGAGACAATGGGCACCAATAAGACTTACATGGCAAATTCCTTCCAGTGTAAAGTTCAGAAACTCTAAAAGATCCACAACCAATCATCAATTCTCACTACCCAGATAGCAAGTAATTGAGCTGCAAGTTTGAAAATGACTTGCTAAACTATTGCAGACTTGCAGAGCTTCACAATTTTGTTGCACAATTACAGCAAGTCTGCATTGCAAGTCTCCAGATCAACTTGCTTTACTAAAGTGCTGTACACTCGCAGAGCTCTTGCTAAGACCTGCAGGACTCTTGCTGGAGACTTGCCAAGCAAATTTGCTACAAATTCAAAAAGTGTCGCCCAGAACTTTTGCTGCGAGTGTTCTGCACGTCTACTACTTGCCAGGAATGTGTGCAGCAAGTTACCAAGAATTACAATTTAACCCTCCCACAAGTTTGTGGCAGGTTATCCTTGCTATCTGGGTAAACGGCTCTTTGTTTTGTAAAGTTTGTGAATATTTTATTTTTCTGATTTCAGCTTCCTCCTCTTCTGCCCCCAAGCCTAAGGGGGTGCCCTTCGTGGATAAACATCGGGAGGCACTGGTGAACCGATGTGCCTTGGTGGATCCCATCCTGGATGGTCTCCTCTCCAAAGAACTCCTGACTACTGAAGAAAATGACACCATACGAGGTGAGAGGCCTGCCCAGAACCAGATGAGGAAACTCTTCCAGTTCATCAGGGCCTGGTCTGACTCTGACAAGCAAGCATTCTATCTGATCTTAAAGGAGAAAAATCCTCGTCTGATCGAAGATCTGGAGCAGTCCTAAACTGTTTCTGAAGAATATATCGTCAACGTAACGCCATCTACAGTGATACTTACAGGATATCTAACCTCCAAGAACAATTCCAGCTTCCTCAGTCCTTAGATATGGTGGCTCCATTCGTTTTCTTTATTCAGGCTAAGAACATTTTCTTTGGGTACAGAAAATACTTGTTGATCCCACCAGAGTTCCAATGTTATAACTTCCAAGGTAGTGATAAACAATGTTATCAGCCTTCCTGTCTATCTTCTGTGAACTATAACATACCCTCTGCCTATGTAATGGAGATAAGAGGGGGAGGGTGGTTGTAGTCCCAATCAAGAGAGCATCCTAGGGGGACAACACTGCTCCTCCATAGATACAGTGCAGTGAGTGAGGGTTGTCCCACAGGAAGTGTGTTACTGACAGAATCAGCAGGTGAAAAAGAAAAAAGCCTGAAAATACAAAACAAATGCTGTCACCACGTCTAAGGGCTGGTAGGTTGCATTATATGACTGCTTTTTATATATCTTTTTTTAAGATGAACTCTGGCCAAAAACATTTAAAGTATATCTCAAGTCAAAATTTTTTTTCCTGTAATTTTGGATAGAGTAGGAGACTAGAGTAGGGTCATTTCTTGCCCCAGAGACACCACAGGAAGTGAAAGGAAACCCTCCAATGTTAGGGAATATACCTTCTTGAACAGTTGTCACCGGAGAAGAAACTGGAAGGTTTCTCCTCATTTTCTGTTTTGTTTACAATTGAAACATTTTGGATTTCCTATCATTTCCTGTCCCACTGACAACAGGAAACAAATAGACATGAAATAGCCTACCTAAGATATCACCAGCATGCCTTGTTTGGATAAAAAGACAGGACGCTGTCCCAACAGGGAGCGATGTTTGGCCTCACCATAGCCATTCACTTGGCTCCAACCCTTAACCCTCTAATGAGTCAAATCCAACGCCTCAGTCACACACCTTTCAGCATTATAAACCCGACAGGGGTTCTATCCATTCTCCACTCTATCTGAAATGTTTTGGCCTAAGATATACTTTGATCATTTCAGAAAGCATGGGACTGAACTGCAGATCATTGACTTTAATAGAGACGTACACAGGACAGTCCAGAGGCTACGTTTCATTGACTTAAACCCTAACTCTGTGAGTTCTTGAGCAGCTCAACTGATCTGGTCATCAAGAGAGATGGGTCATAAGATAGACATCTTCATGACAAAGAACTGGTCTTGGCTTACTTAAATTTGACTGGTGCTCCTCTGTAATAACTAAGATGCAGTAGCCGAGTGCAACCAACTTTGAACCCATTGTGACATAGATAAACAAGGGGTTTTCATGAGCCACTGCCCATGTTTGAAGTGCCTTAAGCATCTGACCCATCATTTGTAGACATCCCCCATTCATAAGGCAGCCCCCCCCCCCCTAGTGAATTCACTAAAATGAACAACCAAAATGGCTTTCAGCTACTTAAAGGGAGAGGCTGCCCAATGATTTACAGGTTTGCAGCTTGGTAACTTACATAGGAGAGCAGATGTCAGTGTAAGGCATTAGGCCTTGTCAGTAATTAGCTGTGATGGGACGGATTCGTTCTCAGGGAAAGTATTGCCATAGATTCTTTTAGAACTACATCTACAAGGTATCTACAGCAGCCTCTTGCATATCTACCAGCCTGTGCCAACACACCTGATCTCAGAAAAGGTCTCCAACTTCACCAGACTTTTTTGTAGGTGCTGTTTACTGAGCCCGATGCCTTGTATCCGCAGAGATGAGCAGCGCATCATTGCTCTGCCCACTGGTGCCCTCTGCTGTGTACGCATTACGTCTTACGGGTAGATCAAATGATATGATCTATGCATGGTTTTACAAACATCATGTCTAAGATCACTCTTTCCGTCATTTTTTTAATATAGTTTAAAACATTTTTTTATTTAAATGAGCAACCAAAAACATTCCCTGTATTTGTCATTCCATAACTACAACCTGCAAATGGCTAATAGTAATAAGACCAATGAAATTATTGCATACAACATTGCAAGTTGACAGTTCCCACTTCAGGGGGGGGCGGGGGGTGGACAAAACGACCAATTGTCTTATGGTCGCTGAGGGATGATGTCTAATTATTCACAGCACAGATGTCCCATTCCGTTATGTCTGGTTGCCAGGACTTCTGAACAACAATGCGAAATTCCGATTGGCAAAATGTACAACTTTTCTGTGGTTGGCGTCATTTTATTGTAGCACTTTAATAAAAAAAAATTGGGTACAATCACGTCTCTCGGACTCTTTCATTAATGTATTCATCAGCGTTGAGAAGGTGGAAGGAAGTCAAACACTTTGTTGGTATCCATTACTTGAGCTGACCAGAGCTGACCAGGACCTAAATTGCTTCATAAGATCAACGTTGACTTATTGTATGGCTGACCTCAAGGTCAGCCCTTCCAAATCAAATATTTGTTGTGGACTTTTAGTACACCAGACTTGTTCCTGAGGTCCATGTCATCCTGGCATTCCTGGCACCTCCATTAGTCATAGAGCTCCGCTGGTTCTCCTTCCCCGACAGTTCCATACCACACTTGGTTCAACATGTGGCCTCCTGCAGGCTTGAGATCTAGTCAGCTTCTCCAACCTTGTACATCCCATCCCCAGGCCAGGCCCAGGGGGCAGACTGAACTGAGCATATGGCAATTCCTGAGTATTTATGCACTTCCCCAGCATGCTCCACTGGCCATGAAACTCCGAGTGATTGTCTGGTGCGGCATAGACACTCCTAATGTTCCCCTATTGGCTGTCCCACTCTGTGGCAGGGTCACACCCCACTCACAGGTAGGTGCAATCATTAGCAGAACACTTAGAATTAACCAATCGATACTTAACGTGGAAGAGGCTACAACTGTTTTTATTACTGACTTGCGAATCCCCAGAAGAGGAAGTAAGGACATGGATGTGCTGGGAAAACACAAATTAAATTTGCATTTACGATGTCTCTGCATTCCTTTAGAAGTACATTCCAGCAGGTCTATTATTTGCAGGTCTTTTATTTGCAGGCCTATTTGCAGGTCTATTATTTGCAGGTCTATTATTTGCCAAATATGTCACCATCCATAATTGCCTAGCACAGACATGAGATTCAACCCTGACCATTTGTGTTGATGTTGTGGAGAAAATGAGGGTGGCGTTGTGTTCAGTACTACTCCCCCTATTCTCTTCGCACAGTTTGGGGTTCGTCAGATCTCACCATCGTCACAAGGCCTGCCTCAGATAAACATCTGTCATACTCCAGGACTGGTTAATAAGTAACTTCTGTCTGAGTGTTTGTGCCGCTTGTTTTATTTTTTTTTTAAATGCTTTACTTCTTGTAGATTAATAAGGAAACAATCATCAGATAACCGATGAAACCATAAAACAAGAAGGCATTATATACTGTATATGAGGAAGTCAGTCACGCGATACAGCAATAAGTGTAAGTGGTGAGCAATGAGTTACAAGAAAAAGATGGCATCACGGGAGGTCACTTCCTCACCTCTGGTTTCCTTTGGAGCTTCCGTGTTGCTGCGGCCTGCGTCTTTCCTCTTTCTGAAGATCTCTCCCTAAACCGAGCTCCTCGGATCCCATTGTATCAAAGTAATCTAGGGTTGTTACTGATTAGAATTTTCGTGTTCGATTAATCAAAATTTTTTTTCATTTATACCGCGAGCTGTAGCTCGCGGTATACTGAGCTTTGGGTGACGGGAGGATGCTAGTTTGTGTCCTCCCGTTACCCCAAGGAGAACTATGGGGAAAAACACTGACCCCATAGTTCTCCAGTAATGATAACGCACATACAAATCCAACTACACATACAGCACAGCAATGAAGTAATAAAATGAACTAGGATCACACTAATCCAGCACGTTATTAATCTCGCGTGCCCCACTCAATATGGCCGCCGCTTGAGAGGGGCAACTCGGAATAATAACCTGCTGGATTAGTGTGATCCAGGTTCATTTTATGACTTCATTGCTGTGCTGTATGTGTGTAGGCCAATGCCTTGGCTGGCGCTCGTGCAGAAAGTTTCTTGGGCAAACTCACCGGCCCAAGTGGCTCCGTCGGCTAACGAAGGGGGGAGGAGTCCGGTGACGTCACGGACATCGTCGTCACCGGACTCCTCCCCCCTTCCCTTCGTTAGCCGTCACGGACATCGACGTCACTGGCTCCTCCCCCCTCCCCTTCGTTAGCCGATGGAGCCACTTGGGGAAGGGGAGGAGTCCGGTGACGTCACGGACATCGTCGTCACCGGACTCCTCCCCCCTTCCCTTCGTTAGCCGATGGAGCCACTTGGGGAAGGGGAGTAGTCCGGTGACGACGATGTCCGTGACGTCACCGGATCTCCGATCGGGACTCCCGGAAGCTGGACGGAGAGGTGTTTTCATTAGCGATCAAAATAATTTTAATCGATCAAAAAGTTTAACGATTCATTGAGAAATCAATCGTTAATTTCCGCAGCCCTAAAGTAATTGCATCATCTTCATGATAATATTAGGGCAAGGCTGAGATGAAAGGATAGGTTTAAAGTGACACTACACTCAGGAGTTAAATCTTCAAAATGCATTCAAATCCCTCAACTATGAACAACAATGCATCTTATTTGTGTATCACTCGGCAGTAGATCCTCCAATCATCTCTGAATTGGTGCTGACACTGTCCTTCCTTCTGGAGGGGGGCTACGTCTGTTCCCCATGGTCCCTGTGTGTGTTGTAATGTAGTCACCTCTCCAAGCTCAGTCCCGTGTTGGGCTACAGTCTCAGTAAAAATCAGTAAACTAAACATGAGGCCGTAGCCCATCACTCTGCTCACCTCTCTTCCCCTCCACTCTGGCTTTTGTATGTCCCTCAGCATCCTTACATCTAATAGACCTGTATAAATGTGATGACATCATGAGCCCTTAGACTGCTGGAGCCCCAAGACCAATACCCCTACACCCCAAGTGCAAGGGCTAATTTTTCTAAAACCCGAAGTTCTTCTTAAATGCAATGCGTCACGCTAACGTGACGCTAACACATTATGTCATGCTAACACGTGACATAATGTGCGTGCTTCAATTGCACTGCAGCAGGCCTCCCTGGTGTGAATGGGCTCTAGAGGCTGACCGTTCTAAGCACCCCTCCAGTATATAATGTTTTGCCCCAACCCCTATATCTGTCACTTTTGCTGGACAGCTTGACAAATACTGGCAGGACCAACAGGTAATAAAATGGTGTTACAAGCAGGGGCGTCCCGAAGCCGGGTGTCCTGGGTGACACCCCATTGTGACATCATCACGCACGTGCGAGACCTCACCACGCGCATGCGCGACGACGTCATCCGGCATGCGCGGCGATCTTATTGATACCTGCCGGCGGACATCTTGGTGGTGGACGCCGGCAGGGAGAGGAGGGGACAGTCACCCGGCGGGGTAAGGTATTCCTGTCGGGTCCCCTCCTCTCTCCCGAAACTGTCGGTCATTTTGGTGTCACCCCTCCAATGGTGTAATCCAAGTGTGGGCCGCACCCCCCTTGTGATGCCACTGGTTACAGGTGGAACTCAGGAAAACAAAAACTTCCATGTTAATTGTGCCGTTACAGCTATTGAATAAAAAAGGACACAATGCATAGTCATGGTTAATATTTATATGAATGTGAGAATTTATATAGTTAATTTCCTTAAGCATTATTATCATATTGTCAGTATAGCTGGTTAATATACTGCCATCTTCTGGGCACTTTGGTTATTGCACCATTTTTTTCTGTGTTCCCTCCCATTCTATGATGTATTTCCTCTGGCTCAGTATATAGGGAGCTACAGCTCGCGGTATACTGAGACGCCACAGCCGGGATGGATCCCGACAATACTGTCTGGATCCACGCAGCTGCGTGAGTGACAGCTGGCTCTGCCTATCTAGAGACAGAGCCAGCTGTGCCCGCTCCTTCCCCCATCCGTTCTGCCAGTCAGCGCTGGAGGATGGGAGCGGGGTAATCCCTGCAGGGATCCGTGAGTGACAGTCACGGCTATCTGCAGGGATAGATCGAGAAGTGAGCGAGCGACGGTATGTGTTCTCTCACTTCCCGATCTACTGAGCCGACCTGTGACAGTTTAGTTGTCACAGGTCGGCTCAGATTATGAGGCTGAGTGCAAATCACTCGCCTCATAGTTCTCCTTTAATGCTACTGACGGACTGCATCTTATATGCCATTTCTGATTTTGCACGGAGTTCCACTGTAAACTGCACCATGCACGTACGACCCCACGGGTCTATGCACGACTGATTCATGCATATTGGCACCATGGATGTAAAAGGTAAAGGATGGACACCGGCACTCCAAAGCAATTGCCTGATGAAGGGGATCCTGTGAGACCCCGAAACGTTCTTTAGAGTGTTCTATTTGCAACTTGTACCTTAATAAACACGTCCTGAACTTGCTTTGGAGTGCCGGTGTCCATCCTTTACTGATATTTTGTCGGAAGCCACCCGCTGACACCTGCTGCACCCACCTTCCACTTTTGGAGCAGCGGCTCTGAGTGCGATGGGTACACGGACTGTATCATGGATGTACATAGCACACGCCGGGCTCATGTATGAAAGTTCAGTGCAGATAACGCACGTCAGTGAGTGAAAACCGAAGTTCCAGGAAGTCATCTGCTAGTATGTTTCAGGCGTGGGGCTCCGGTCTTCTCCCTCTACGAAGTTGCATTGCAAATCCTATAGAACTGCAAAGACAAAATCTTCACTTGCTGCACCAAAAAAACAAGCTGCCCTCATCCGTGCCATGCACTACGGCTTTGGGTTCATTTTTGGAGTAGTTCGTTATTTTGCTGTAAGGCTGGAAAAAAATGTTTCCAGCAAATTGCTTTCACTTTCTAGTAGTATGTGCAGACATATTTCCCCTGAAAGCGGAAGAGCTGCTGGAGGCGGAGACAAGCTTGGCATCTTTTGAGGCACCGCATAGAGGAGGATGGCACGCACCGTGCGAGATGCCCTGCTCACAGCCTTGGACAATCTGAGTGGGAGAAGCTTCAAGAGGTTCCGCAGCAAAATAACGGACTGGGACATCAAGGAGGGCTTCAACACGATTGCCAAAAGCTTGCTAGAGAAGGCAGAACCTGATGACGTGGTGGATCTGATCCTGAATCACTACAAGGAGTGTTATGGTCCAGAGCTGACGGTGGAAGTTCTAGAAGCCATCGATGAGAAGCAAGAGGCCTCGAAACTGATGAAGGACCTGGAGAACGGTAAAGCTGACCGTAGGCTTTAGATGGCTGTTTGAATATGGGGGGCAATGGAAATGGTCTCTAGTGTGCATTCATCTCACACGCATTAATATAAAGATGCCGGGGGTTCCAACTCTTCCTTGTTCCATCCACAATGAAAAAATGGCTTTAGATATTCCTTAAAGGAGAACTATGGGGTCAGGGCTTTTCCCCATAGTTCTCCTTAGGGTAACGGGAGGACACAAACTAGCTTCCTCCCGTCACACAAAGCTCAGTATACCGCGAGCTGGTATACTGAGACACCGCAGCCGGGACAGATCCCGACATTACTGTCGAGATCCACCCAGCTGCGTGATTGACAGCTGGCTCTGCCTATCTAGAGGCAGAGCCAGCTGTACCCACCCCCTCCCCCGTCTGTTCCGACAGTCAGCGCTGGAGGATCGGGGAGGGGGCATCCTTGCAGAGAGCCGTGACAGTCACGGCTCTCTGCAGGGATAGATCGAGAAGTGAGCGAGCGACGGTATGTGTTCGCTCACTTCCCGATCTACTGAGCCGACCTGTGACAGTTTAATTGTCACAGGTCGGCTATAACTATGAGGCTGAGTGATTTTCACTCGCCTCATAGTTCTCCTTTAAGCAAAAGTTTAAACAGGACAACAGGACAAGCTGTGCACTGCAGCAGAACGTATGCAGCAAGCAGTGACATGCGGTACCTGGTTCCAGGTGAGGCATTCCCAAGCACGTCCCGCCCCCGCCGGCCGAAACCCCACTCCACTTGCCAAAGCCCCGCCAGAAACCAATCCCCAAGCTAGTGTGAAGAAGGAGACATGGAGGAGCCTCCCTGTCCCTCACTTGCTCGTCACTGCTGAATTATCGAGATCGATGGCCTCAGTGGGGTTTTTTTTTCTTTTTTTGATTGGACAGCTTGGACCAATGGTGCTTTGCCATTGGTCCAAGCCATCCACAGAGCTCACGCCTCTAAAAAAGAGTAGAGGCCATGACAGCTCTGGCTTCAATAGTTAGGTTACCCAATAGGGTTGCCACCTTTTCTTCAAGCCAAACCCGAACACTGTAGCGCCTTGCGGCAATTTTTTGGTAAAGTACACTATGCATGTATTTTGTGATTAAATAACATCGGAGGTAATCACAAAGATGCCAGTGTGCCACAGATCCACAGATATAGAATCTGTATGCAGTGGTGCATTCTGGTTTGCGGCCGCACTAGGCAAGACGAAACAAGGGCGCCCCCCCAACCCCCCCCCCCTTCACTAAATCCGCAGGTTCTCATGGGGGCTGTGCAGGATCTGTGGTGGGCTCTGGCATAAGGCCCACCACAGATCCTGCAAAGCCCCCGAGACCCTGCAGAGCCCACCACAGATCATGCACACCCCCCCGGCACCCTGCAGACCGGTGCAGGATGTGTGGTGGGCTCTGCCCAACATAGACCCCTCAGAGCCCACTACAGATCCTGTACGGCCCACCCGAGACTCTCAGGTGGGCTGTGCAGAATCCATGCTGGGCTCTGCAGGGTCCCTTTAGCAGTAGTGTGATCATCTTACCTGCTGCTTGGTCCCCGGCCTCCTCCACTGCTGGACTGGTGCTGCAGGACCCGGCCTCCTCCGTACCACGGCGGCTCTTCAGTGACCCGGTGTTCTGTCACGCATGCAGCGGTTTCCTACGGCGCCCTGGCCCCGCCCCTTCCTGATTCGTTGTCGTCCCGGCCTCGCCCCGCCCCCTCCTGCTGCTCCGTCTCCTCTACCTCTTCCACCGCCGCCTGCTTGCCGCTTTTCTCTGCCTCCTTGCGGACTTTGTCCTTTGAAACTGCCGCCTCCTCCACCCGGATGCCTGAGTGTTTTGGGGCGGCATTTTTGCCGCCCCCCTGAAATCTGCCGCCCAAGGCAAACGCCTTGTTACCCAGCAGGAGATAAGCCCCTGTCTGTACGTAAAACCATGCCCCCCATAAGATGCCAGTGGGGGGGGGGGGGGAGGATTTCCCTGCTGTGTAACCTCATGGAAGCCGATCTGAATGGAGAAAAAGCTGACAAGATTCAGACTTGAAGATGACAGCTTTTTCCTCCTTAATTCTAGGTGAGGCTCCGCCTCCCCTGACCGCAAGTCTTTAAGCTGCCCCAAGCAGAGAAAAGTACTATATGACTAGAGTGGGATTCAGGGACCATAAGGAGATTAAAGGTCCATAAGGAGCCATATAACGGCCTGGTAGTCAGGATGGTGGGTCCCTTTTTCCAGTTCAGGTCAGGTGGGACCTTCTCTGGACCCTCAATAAGGCAAACCTAGCAATATTTGAAAATCATTTCCAGGTATAATCTTGCTGTAGACTCCAAACACAAAAGTCCATCAAAGGGACCCTGATCACTGTATATTCTGAAATACAGAGTCACCACGAAGATCCCGAGCAAGACCAATTTTCATCCAGCTCCTGGCCAAACAAAAACACCTATTTACTGAATATAGACTGACAGCTTGGTAGAATTAAGACAAGACCATGACAACGGGAAGCCTTCTGGTATAAATGAGCCCCTAAGTCCCAGCGGGCCCCTTGCAAATAATACGTGCACCTCGCTAATATGACATGTTTATGAAAAGCCAGACGTTCCCAGTAGGGTTGCCACTTTTTCAAGCGAAACATGAACAGTCTAGCAACGCGCGGAAATTTTTTTGGGAGAATGAGTCGTGGCTTGTTCATATGTCAATAGCGCCGCCCATTCATATGTAAATCTCACAGTTGAAACTATTGGTGGGGGGCCAGTAGCCCCTATCTTAATCTTGGTTGCCCCCTGTCTCCCTGAAATCTTGTGTCCGGGTTTCTGCTGCCATGAATCCCGAACACAGCATTCAAAACCTGGACTGTCCGGGTGAATCTTGGACATGTGGCAACCCTAGTTCCCAAAAATATTCACTATTGACACTCTGCAGCGTATCAGCTCTCTGATCCCTGTGCTAATATTAGTTAGGTCCTCCTTGTATTCTCTCCCTCCTACAAACTTGCCCAGACACCTCCCGTCCAGACCCCAGTACCCGAAACATGCTACAGTCTTACTTCCCATTTCCGGGAATATGGGAAGCTACTATGAACACAGATTCAGGAAGTTTTACCAGCAGCATTTTAAAAAAAGGACTAAGTGTGTTTTTATGTTTTCCTGGAGTTCAGAAAGTGAACCTGACATAGCAGAAATATAGCAGGAATAAACGTCTTCTTTGCTACCAGGGATACGTAGCTGATTGAAGAGTAATTTTCATAAATGCATGTTAAAGGTTTCATTAAAGAGACCCTGTCACCAGCTTTAAAAAAAATGCAGGTAAAAGTGCAGACAAAAAAAATCAAGTATTTTAAATACTTATTTGCAGTGTTTTCCTTTCCATAAATTATTATGTAGCTGCTAAGGGAGGGGCGCAGGGGAATGCCATGGCCTCCTGGCCTACACAGAGGTGCCCCCAAATTTTGTGTTAGCGGGACTGTGATGTGAAGGGGGGAATGAAGACTGATGTGAAGGGGCTCCTGATATAAAAGGGGGACTCTGATATGTAAGTGGGACCTCTGATTTAAAAGGAGGGCTCCTCATATGATAGTGGGACCTCTGATGTGAAAGGGGGGCTCATTTTATGATAGTGGGACCTCTGATGTGAAAGGGGGGCTCCTGATATGAAAGAGGGCTCCTCATATGATAGTGGGACCTCTGATGTGAAAGGGGGCTCCTGATATGAAAGTGGGGCCTCTGATGTGAAAGGGGGCTCCTCATATGATAAAGGACCTTTGATGTGAAAGGGGGGCTCCTGATATGAAAGGGGACTGCTAAGGCAAAGGGTGACTCTGATGTGAAGGGGGGATCTTGATTTGAAGGGGGCACATCGAAGTGAAAAGGGAACCCCACTTTTTTGGGTGTTTTTGCATGGGTCCCCCTTAAAATGTATAACATTTTAGACTGAGGTGCCTCTGGATTTTGCATCCTTTAAAAAGGTTGCCATGACTAAAAAAAATATGATGAAACGCTGCTATAGAGTGACAACTCTGAATCTCCTTGGGCAGCTGACATTACAATCTTGATGGCAGCGCCCAGCTGAAGTCTCAGTCCTTTTGGATGTCTACACAAGGGAGTCCTTTACAGGTAAATAACATGAATAAAATATGTTAAACGCATGTATAGGCTTCTTAGAGCAAAGAATGGTCCGGTGACAGGGTCTCTTTGGGCATATTAATGTAACTGAGCCTTATTCAAGGTCTTCTTTGGCATCAATCCTCAATTCCTTCCTGGTATATCGTTATTTTATGTGAGCTTTTCCTTCTTCTTCTGGTCCAATCAGAATCCAGGAGCTCACACTACCTTGTGTTATAGGATGTCACTGGGGGCAAGGAGGCTACAAAGGTGATGCAGGGCCACGACCTTGAGACCTAAAGTGGACACAGAGGTGCTGCCAAAGAATTATTCAGATGGTGTGAAATATAAAGAACTAAGACCCCAGACAAGGCTCAATTATATAGAAATATGTTTCCAGTACTAGACACACATATCTTCCAACTTTTAGAGATGGTAAAGAAGGACACCATTTGGCACAAAGTAAGGACACAACTTTGCTACTGCCCCGGTTAAGAGGACTGTGAACACTTACTGGCCAGGTAGCAACCACAGAGCACAAACTGTTTACAGGGGGGCAACTGTATCCACCATGAGGTCTTATTCAAGATGGCGGTGCAGAGGATAATAATGACCAGAAGTGAGCTCACTGTAGTCAGCTACCTTTAATATAATTCTATGGCACGTCCACAATATTTGCACTGCTATACTGAATACAAATTACAGTTCTGCCGTAAGATACAATAGGTTAGCGTGTCAGAATACAGGGACTAATGTCCATGCTTTTTCTCTTTCAGTGAAGGGTTTTAAATGGCGAAAGAAGCCCAGGGAGGAACCGCAAAAACAAAAAGAATCTGCTTCGAAGGGTGAGCAAAAGAAGAGCAGGTCCTGCCACCAATTATTCTGTGCAGGGGACTTCTTTTCATAAGACAATAACCCCTCATTCCAGGCTAGTGGAAAGGTTCCTCAGTCATGTCCATGTAGAATGAATTCATGGGCTAAGAGTTTGTTCAGATCACTGTTGATAACCAGATCTCTAGCTGACAATGGCCCCTGGCCTTGTCCCTGACAGAAGAACTTGTCCCTCTTTGATTGGAGCCCCCAACTTTGTTTTGCTTGATAGAAGAACCTGTCCCTCTTTGATTGGAGCCCCCAACAGCTTCAGTACTGACAACGCTGGTCAGATCCCTGGCCTTGTCAATGATAGAAGAACCTGAAAAAAGAAAAGGCTAGTTGCACTCCTTACCGGTATGACCCAGTGATCGGGGAGGGGTGCTCGGAATGACTGCGGATGGCGCCGCCAAATACAGATAATTCGTCACCAGCACACCAAATCCTTATAGGATCAAAGTTCGTAGATTTTAGTGCAAACTCATGTCCGTTACACTTGTAACCGACATGAGTCAATAAAATCTACGAACTTTGATTCTATAAGGATTTGGTGTGATAGAAGAACCTGTCCCTCTTTGATTGGAGCCCCCAACAGCTTCATTACTGACAACGCTGGTCCGATCCCTGGCCTTGTCCCTGATAGAAGAACCTGTCCCTGTTTGATTGTAGCCCCCAACTGCTTCAGTGCTCACAACGCTGGTCAGATAACTATAACGTCATGAAGTCGATGGTGTTATCCTACCAGGTGATGATTTGCACTGGTCTAAAATATAGTGAACTCCTAAAAAGGTTTGTTGGACCTGTCACTAAATCCCTTTGCTCCAACTTCTTACGGGAAGTCCCAGCTGGCCCACCACCCCTCACAAATGACCAATGGTCATGGGGTCAAAGCAAACCGGCCAAATTGGCTGAGAATCTGGTTCGGCACAATCCTTACATACCATTTCAACATGGGATCAGTCTTGTCCCGGTCAGCCTTTAGTGAGTTTATGTGCAGTTCTGATTAACTGGAAGTTATTCAGTGAAGTATTCCAAGTTAGACTCTGAAAGTATAACATGACAGCCAGGCAGCTAGTATTTTGGAAAGGGGAGACCCGCACAGCAGACAAAAATTCCATTAATGTATTATGGGGGAGGGGTGGAGACTAACTTTGTCCTTGCCGATAGACCAGCCATGACAGACTCAACTTGGCTTTTCCTACATAGAATCCATTGAAGGGGAATGTGCTGTGCATAGACTTTAATAGTTAGGAAATTCTCTATTCCAGTGACGAGTTTCCAAGATATAAATTGGTTGAAATGAAGAGAACTCCATCACAAAGCCGAAACTTCCCACTTTGATAAACGAGCTTCTTTCTTTACTAAATTCTTTATCTAAAATGGTTTGTGAAAAATATTTTTCTTTTTTTTATCACAGAATCTTCTGCTTCTGCCTCAAGCCACAAAATGCACTTTGTGGATCAACATCGGGAGGCTCTGATAAAAGGGGTGGCCCTGGTAGATCCCATCCTGGATAGCCTTATGTCTGCAAATCTGCTGACTTACGAAGATTATTCCACAATAAGGAGAGAGGGAACATCTTATGCGCAGATGAGGATGCTCTTCTACAAATACGTCTGTTCCTGGGAGGAGCCTCAGAAGGATGTATTGAATAACGCCTTGAAAAAAAATAATCGCATTTTGATGGAAAATCTGGGGGGAAGTTAGCCCTGAACTTTGGTTATCTGATAATTATATCACAAATAGCACTTCTGTTCTTCCCCCCTACAATCAAGACCACCCCACCTGCTAAGACTTGGAGTGATTTAAAAAAAATGGGCTTCCATTCGACCAACTAAAATTACCTTCCCACCTTGATGATGTTCCTGATGGACAGAGCAGCTTGGTTGACCTATGCCACAACCCTAGAACCAGAGGTTGGAGGTTACCATATATCTAGCTGTCAATCAATCTGTATGACATCACTGCACTTATAAGTATGACAGGTATCCTTACCCCATAACCATCAGTAGCACTGATAGAAGGGTCCACGTTGAATGACCATGTAAACAGAGGTGATCTTGGCTACAGCTCTTCCAGTGCTAGAAGTGTACTGGTGTGTTGTCCTTTGGGTCACATTACCGTTTCCCTTAGCAGACTGGTACGGCCCTTCTGGTCCAATCCACCATAAGTTCTGATTTTAGTTTGCTCTTCTCTATAGGTTCCAGTGGCGTCACAAAGGGGGGTGAGGCCCAGACCCGGGTGACACCAAAATGACTGACAGTCATTTTGGTGTCACCCCCTCTAAAGAGTCGGGCACTCGGTCATGGACCGAGAGCCCGACAGTGTCAGGAGAGAGGAGGGGACCCAGCAACATACCTCATACCGCCGGGTAAACGTCCCCTCCTCTATTTGCCCGGCGTCCATCACCAAGATGGCCGCCGGCAGGCGTCAATCAGATGGCCGCGCATGCGCAATGACGTCATGAGGTGATGCCACGCGCATGCTCGATGATGACATGGCTGGGTGTCACTCGGTCTAGAGACCTGGTGACACCCAGCCTCGGGACGCCCCTGATAGGTTCCCGGATCACTTGTATCTTAGATTTTATTAGATAGGGGCCTGAAAGACATTCCCAAGGAAATGCAATTACAGGACTATTCACTAAAGGGTGAAGAGTTTGGAGAAGGCAGAAGAAGGGAACAATCTAGGACAACATAGCTGAACTGAAAAGTGAGCTGCATTGGAGAATGTTTCCAAATCAGCTGTGTTGGCCTAGATTGTTCCCTTCTTCTGCCTTGTCCAAACCCTTCACCCTTTTGTGAATAACCCTGTCAGTGATGTATGAGCTCTCAGCTCTTTAACTTACAGAACAACTGAGGGTTGTATCGAGACCAAACCCTAATCTAAGACCCCTTAATCCTTACCCCATAACCATCAGTAGCACTGATAGAAGGGTCCACGTTGAATGACCATGTAAACAGAGGTGATCTTGGCTACAGCTCTTCCAGTGCTAGAAGTGCACTGGTGTGTTGTCCTTTGGGTCACTTTACCGTTTCCTTTAGCAGACTGGTACGGCCCTTCTGGTCCAATCCACCAGATTCTAGTTTGCTCCTCTCTATAGGTTCCTGGATCACTTGTATGTTAGATTTTATTAGATAGAGGCCTGAAAAACATTCCCAAGGAAATGTGAATGATTTTTAGAGAGGAAGAACATTTACAGGGCTATTCACTAAAGGGTGAAGAGTTTGGAGAAGGGAACAATCTAGGACAATATGGCTGATCTGGAAAAAGTCTACAATTCAGCTCACTTTCCAGTTCAGCTATTTTATCCTAGATTGTTCCCTTCTCCGGCCTTCTCCAAACCCTTCACCCTTTTGTGAATAACTCTGTCAGTGATGTATGAGCTCTCAGCTCTTTAACTTACAGAACAACTGACGGCTGTATCGAGACCAAACCCTAATCTAAGACAAGCCATGCTAAGACAAATTAATTTTTAAGGGAGGTGCTGTGCTATATATGTTTAGCTGACTGAGTGCCCACAGCAGTACCTTCTCCATCAACCATCCTGCCTCAGCACAAGTGATTTCCCATAAGGCCTTTAACTTTACTCAGCTCTCAGATCATCAGTGATAGTTAATGAGCTGAGGGCTATAACTAATAAACTGCTTCCATCTAAAACCACACTAGCAAAAGAAGCCTAACTCTTTCCTAGATAACCTCTTTGATTGTTAGCTCCTGAGACCAGTACCTTGTACCTGAAGAGCTATGCAGAGTTTGTCCTTTGCACAATGATAGTCTTTGCAAATGACTGAACAGCCTCCATGTGAGTGAATGGGGTTAAACGGGGAACCATTTAAAGGTCCTAATTTAATAGGGACACAAAGCAATTCTCAATATGTAGTATCAATGTTTAAAGGAGAACTATGAGGCGAGTGATTTTCACTCAGCCTCCTAATCTTAGCCGACCTGAGACAATGAAACTGTCACAGGTCGGCTCAGTAGATCGGGAAGTGAGCGAACACATACCGTCCCTCGCTCAAATCTTGATCTATCCGTGCAGAGAGCCGTGACTGTCACTCAGGGCTCCCTGCAGGGATTCCCCTCCCCTTTTCGATCCTCCAGCGTTGACTGGCGGAACGGACGGGGGAGGGTACAGCTGGCTCTGCCTCTGGATAGGCGGAGCCAGCTGTCACTCATGCAGCTGGGTGGATCCAGACATAATTGTCGGGATCCGTTCCGGCTGCGGAGTCTCAGTATACCGCGAGCTGTAGCTCCCTATATACTGAGCCTAGGGTGACGGGAGGACGCTAGTTGGTGTCCTCCCATTACCCTTAGGAGAACTATGGGGAAAAGCTCTGACTCCATAGTTCTCCTTTAACTCTACACCTTGAATATCAGCTCCTACACCTAGTGCATTATACCTTCAGGGATGTGGACATTCATTGCTCTGTACATTGGTGCTAGCTTCTACTGTATGTACACATTACCTCAGTAAAGTCTGTATGTTATCGTTTTATATGTTAATAAACAATCATGTTTACACAGCTGAGGTCTAAAACATACCTGAGGTGACAACTGGCTGAAGTGTTGGTACCTTTATGTTGCCACCTTGCCGGCAAGAACCTCAATCCCAATTCAAGCTCAACCCACCAAGCTCCACCCCAACTACCTGTCAATTGCCAAAGCGTCTACTGCCCATGTCTGTCATTTGACAACTGAATGTCAGGGGTGTGTGGTTGAGTTGCCACAGAAGGCGGTGCTTAATATTGACTTGGGCAGATGTCAAGGCGTAACGTATAGCTTGTGGCCTACGATCCAATGGGGCTGTACGGGGACCAATTTGAAAACAGACAGAGGTATTTGCATAGACTGCAGAACTATTGTTACCTTGATACATCGTAGACAATGGTCCAGGGTTCAGTCCAGGGTTCAGGGTCCAGTCCAGGGTTCAGGGTCCAGTCCATGGTTCAGGGTCCAGTCCAGGGTTCAGTCCAGGGTTTAGAGTCCAGTTCAGGGTCCAGTCCAGGGTCCAGTTCAGGGTCCAGTCCAGGGTTCAGGGTCCAGTTCTCTTTAGTAAATTTTTTATAAAATTTGCCATTCCATGTCTATGTTATGTACACGCTGTTAACAATAACCACATCCGTGCATATGGTACTCCACCTTTCCATTGAATGGTGATGGTGGGGGATTGGGACAAAGGAAGATGAAAGGAAGATGGCGTTGCTTATCCAAAGTACAAACGATTTATTACATATCAGCGAGTGCGCCTCGTTATCAAGATTCAGTGAAATCCCAAACAATCTGAAAATGTAATTTGTGTCCAGTTTCTGCTCTGTGTGAGGATTTCTATTACAGCACATAAAGTGAAATAAAACTATGTAGAATATGATACAATGTATCTTGGGTTGCTCCATGTATGACATCATCATTGGAATACACATAGAAGGAAGACCACAGTATCCTTGGTATCATTTCTTGTCTTAGTAATGCATTGCAAACAAAATGGTTTCCAATGATTACAGCCCAGTTCTGGACTCCCCCTCCAACCCCTGGAGGACCCCCGCTGTATTTTTTTTTATACATACCAGTTCCAGATGCTCTTAGGCTTGCCACTAGATGTGCAAGGTCCTCGTCTTCTTCAGATATTCTTCTAGTGGTGGTCAGTGGTTAATGATGCAGAAAACAGTGTTGACACGATGTAGTCGACCCCATTCTCGGCACGGTGACAATGGGGCGCCAAGGGGATGGCGGCGGGTCCATGACACCCCCCACTTGGAGTATATCCTCAGCCAGTGGCGTCACAAGGGGGGTACGGGGAGTGCGGCCTGCACCTGGGTGACACCATTGGAGGTGTGACACCAAAATGACTCACAGTCATTTTGGTGTCATCCCCTCTAAAAAGTCGGCAGGACAGGACAGGACAGAGGAGGAGACCCGGCGGCATACCTCATCCCACCGGGTGAACATCCCCTCCTGGCTCTGCCAGTGTCCATCAGTAAGATGGGCGCCGGCAGGCGTCACCTAGATGACCGCGCATGCGCGATGACGTCAATGCTGGGTGTCACCGGTCTCCGCTCCGGGTGTCACCCAGCCTCAGGACGCCCCTGGACAGACTGCATCTTATATGCCATTTTGCCCAGAGAAGAGGAAGTGCTGACTTGGATGTGATGGGAAAACACAAATTAAATTTGCATTCATGACATCTCTGGAATTCCTTTCTAAGTACCTTCCAGCAGGTCTATCATTTGCCAAATGTGTCACCTTCCATAATTGTGCGTATGGACAATGACGTCACAGCAGGGTGTCACCCGGTCTCCGCTCCGGGTGACACCCGGTCTCGGGATGCCCCTGTCCTCATCCTTCTAGGTTAAATTATGCTGGCTGTCATTTAACCTGAAAGACAGAGGATGTCTAGTGGCAGAAATCATTTACTACCGTGGACAGTATTCCAGAAGAGTTTGGTTATATGAAGTATTGAAGTTTTTGATCTGTGCCCAATTTCCTGTCCTGAAGACACAACAGGAAATGGGATAAAATCATTCCAAAGTGAGGGAATATTCCCTTTTTTCCCAGTGATAACTCATAATCATGGACCATCGCTTCACTTTATTGTCCGGGTGATAATGAGACAACTGCTTCCAAATAACGAGCAAGGGTCCTTCTCTGCAGCATGCTGGCAGGGGACAGGCATTTCCACTCAGGCTGTGGCTGCTTTAGACAGAAAACAAACTGGTAAACTTTGCACACCTTTTGTTTTAAAGGAGAACTATGGGGTTAGGACTTTTCCCCATAGTTCTCCTTAGGGTAACGGGAGGACACAAACTAGCGTCCTGCCGGCAGCCTAGGCTCATTATACCGCGAGCTGCTGCTCGCGGTATACTGTATTGTCACAGGTCGGCTAGAACTATGAGGTGAGTGAAAAGCACCCGCCTCATAGTTCTCCTTTAATGCACATGAATCGTATTAAGCTGATTGAAGCTGAAGGTTCAAATGAGCTTTAATATGTACAGACTCAAGGGCTAAAAACAGATAAGGACGTCTGATTTTGCTCTCGCTTTCCTGATCTTCATACTTGTTCTGGGTCACTGACTTAGGCAACGATGGCAATGGTGGAATGATCTCAGCATGGGAGTCTCCAGGAGATATAAGTGGCCACCATGTGACTGAGGTTGCCAATGACAATTCAAACCTGATATGCCTGGCCTGCTTGATAGCCAATGTAAATACTGTTTCCAAAATGGAGTCAGACAACATGTCAGGGGTGGAGGTGACATACGAGGTGGTAAAGGGACCTGTTGATCTACCGGAAAGCTTGGCAGCTGATTTTAGTTGGTGCATCTAAAGAACACAAAATGTAACACATTGCTGATGACCGATCCTTCCATGTGGTGGCTGCATTTGTTTCCTTTGTTACAGGCTCTTTTCCCCTAACGTTCACCTAGTCACCAAGCTAGTAACACACTTCCTGTCCTAGGGTGACAACACTCACTCACTGTACTGTATCAGGACAGCAGAAAAAGGACAGGACTACAGGACGCTGCCTCTCTTCTATTCTCAAAAACATTGAGAAATGGGGTTTTGAAGTCCTCAGGGATAGCTGAGAACATATAGCTGAGAACAGTCAACACAGGCAGAGAGGACAGGAAGTTATGAGCTTGCAAAGATTTCTGTCAGGACCAATCGGTATGTTCTGCACTTATCAAACAGATATAACAAAACACTTTCCATTGTATATATGAAAGATCAAAAGAGACCAAATAAGAGAAGTTTATTGGTAAGGTTTACATACTCTAAGCTAAGCCCACCTTTCTCCTCAAACAGGGGTTCCTCCAGAGGTTGCTCGGAGTTCTATCAGCACTTAGGTAGGAGGCAACACATCAAAAAAACTTTTGCTGTTTGCGCAAGGTGCCTGTCAGAGGCAGTATTGGTTGAAATGTACTATATTTGGGGCGTCTAAGGCGGGAATCAAGAAGAGGAATAATTTGCTTTCTGTTTCAGCTAGCCAAGTCTGTGTTGAAATTTCCAGTTGGACTTCCTTGTGGAGGCATTATGCCGAGGAACACAGAACAGGTTCCTGAGTTAGCAAAGAGGCAGTCATAGGAGAGGATGGAGAAGACATTGCAGGATCACCTGCTCCGGGCTTTAAACGAATTGGAAAGTAACAGTTTTAAGAGCTACCAAAACAAATTAACTGATTGCAGGATTAAGGAGGGCTATGAAAGGATCCCCAGAGGGAAGCTGGAGAATAAAGACCGCGAAGACCTCGTCAAACTGATCTTCCAATACTATGGGGATTCATACGGTCCGGAACTTACTGTAGGCGTTCTAAAGGCCATCAATGAGAACAACGTGGCAGCAGATCTTCAGAAGCTTCTGGGAAAAGGTAAAGCTGACAGCAGACTTTAAACAGTAATTACCCACGACTGATCCTTCATTTTACTATGATCATGGCACAAACATACACTCCTTGATCTCCCAAGGGTGTGTTTATGCAGTGAGGTCTTTGTGTAGACAACCCTCAGTGCGTATGACCTGCATTGAGGACACTGAATGGAAGGTGACCTACACTAGGTACATTGAATAGATGGTGACCTGCACTAAGTACATTGAATGGAGGGGGACCTGCACTAAGTACATTGAATGGAGGGGACCTGCCCTAGAGACATTGAATGAAGGGGGACCTGCACTAGGGACATTGAATGGAGGGTGACCTGCACTAGGTACATTGAATGGAGGGTGACCTGCACTAGGGACATTGAATGGAGGGTGACCTGCACTAGGGACATTGAATGGAGGGTGACCTGCACTAGGTACATTGAATGGAGGGTGACCTGTACTAGGGACATTGAATGGAGGGTGACCTGTACTAGGGACATTGAATGGAGGGGGACCTGTAATAGGTGACCAACACTAGGGACATTGAATGGAGGGTGACCTGCACTAGGTACATTGAATGGAGGGGGACCAACACTAGGGACATTGAATGGAGGGTGACTGTACTGGGTACATTGAATGGAGGGTTACCTGCACTAGGTACATTGAATGGAGGGTGACCTGAACTAGGGACATTGAATGGAGGGTGACCTGCACTAGGGACATTGAATGGAGGGTGACCTGCACTAGGTACATTGAATGGAGGGTGACCTGCACTAGGGACATTGAATGGAGTGTGACCTGCACTAGGGACATTGAATGGAGGGTGACCTGCACTAGGTACATTTAATGGAGGGTGACCTGTAATAGGTACATTGAATGGAGGGTGACCTGCACTAGGTACATTGAATGGAGGGTGACCTGTAATAGGTACATTGAATGGAGTGTGACCTGCACTAGGTACATTGAATAAAAGGTGACCTGCACTAGGTACATTGAATGGAGGGGGACCTGCACTAGGTACATTGAATGGAGGGTGACCTGCACTAGGTACATTCAGACAATCCATTGAAGGGGAATGTGCTGTGCATACACTTTAATAGTTAGGAAATTCTCTATTCCAGTGATGAGTTTCCAAGATATAAATTGGTTGAAATGAAGAGAACTCCATCACAAAGCCGAAACTTCCCACTTTGATAAACGAGCTTCTTTCTTTACTAAATTCTTTATCTAAAACGGTTTGTCGAAAATATTTTTCTTTTTTTATCACAGAATCTTCTGCTTCTGCCTCAAGACCCAAAATACACTTTGTGGATCAACATCGGGAGGCTCTGATAAAAGGGGTGGCCCTGGTAGATCCCATCCTGGATAGCCTTATGTCTGCAAATCTGCTGACTTACGAAGATTATTCCACAATAAGGAGAGAGGGAACATCTTATGCGCAGATGAGGATGCTCTTCTACAAATACGTCTGTTCCTGGGAGGAGCCTCAGAAGGATGTATTGAATGAGGCCTTGAAAAAAAATAATCGCATTTTGATGGAAAATCTGGAGAGATGTTAGCTCTGAACTTTGGTTATCTCATAATTATATCATAAATAGCACTTCTGTTCTTGCCTCCTACAATCAAGACCACCCCACCTGCTAAGACTTGGAGTGATTTAAAAAAAATGGGCTTCCATTCGACCAACTAAAATTACCTTCCCACCTTGATGATGTTCCTGATGGACAGAGCAGCTTGGTTGACCTATGCCACAACCCTAGAACCAGAGGTTGGAGGTTACCATATATCTAGCTGTCAATCAATCTGTATGACATCACTGCACTTATAAGTATGACAGGTATCCTTACCCCATAACCATCAGTAGCACTGATAGAAGGGTCCACGTTGAATGACCATGTAAACAGAGGTGATCTTGGCTACAGCTCTTCCAGTGCTAGAAGTGCACTGGTGTGTTGTCCTTTGGGTCACTTTACCGTTTCCTTTAGCAGACTGGTACGGCCCTTCTGGTCCAATCCACCAGATTCTAGTTTGCTCCTCTCTATAGGTTCCTGGATCACTTGTATGTTAGATTTTATTAGATAGAGGCCTGAAAAACATTCCCAAGGAAATGTAAATGATTTTTAGAGAGGAAGAACATTTACAGGGCTATTCAAAAAAGGGTGAAGAGTTTGGAGAAGGGAACAATCTAGGACGTTATAGCCGATTTGGAAAAAGTCTCCAATTCAGCTCACTTTCCAGGTCAGCTATGTTATCCTAGATTGTTCCCTTCTCCAAACTCTTCACCCTTTTGTGAATAACTCTGTCAGTGATGTATGAGCTCTCAGCTCTTTAACTTACAGAACAACTGAGGGCTGTAGCGAGACCAAACCCTAATCTAAGACAAGCCATGCTAAGACAAATTAATTATTAATGGAGGTACTGCGCTATATATGTTCAGCTGACTGAGTGCCCACAGCAGTACCTTCTCCATCAACCATCCTGCCTCAGCACAAGTGATTTCCCATAAGGCCTTTAACTTTACTCAGCTCTCAGATCATCAGTGATAGTTAATGAGCTGAGGGCTATAACTAATAAACTGCTTCCATCTAAAACCACACTAGCAAAAGAAGCCTAACTCTTTCCTAGATAACCTCTTTGATTGTTAGCTCCTGAGACCAGTACCTCGTACCCGAAGAGCCTATGCAGAGTTTGTCATTGCTTTGTACAATGATAGTCTTTGCAAATTACTGAACAGCCTCCATGTGAGTGAATGGGGTTTAACGTCACACAGGGTCCTGTCCAGGGTTCAGGGTCCAGTCCAGGGTTCAGGGTCCAGTTCACTTTAGTCATTTTTTTTTTTGCCATTCCATGTCTATGTTATGTACACGCTGTTAACAATAACCACATCCGTGCATATGGTACTCCACCTTGAAACTTTCCATTGAATGGTGATGGTGGGGGATTGGGACAAAGGAAGATGAAAGGAAGATGGCGTTGCTTATCCAAAGTACAAACGATTTATTACATATCAGCGAGTGCGCCTCGTTATCAAGATTCAGTGAAATCCCAAACAATCTGAAAATGTAATTTGTGTCCAGTTTCTGCTCTGTGTGAGGATTTCTATTATAGCACATTAAGTGAAATAAAACTATGTACAATATGACACAATGCATCTTGGGTTGCTCCATGTATGACATCATCATTGGAATACACATAGAAGGAAGACCACAGTTTTCTTGGTATCATTTCTTGTCTTAGCAATGCATTGCAAACAAAATGGTTTCCAATGATCACAGCCCAATTTTTGGCTCCCCCTCCAACCCCTGGAGGACCCCCGCTGTATTTTTTCTAATACATACCAGTTCCAGATGCCCTTAGGCTTGCCACTAGATGTGCAAGGTCCTCGTCTTCTTCAGATCTTCTTCTAGTGGTGGTCAGTGGTGAATGATGCAAAAAACAGTGTTGACATGATGTAGTTAGCCCCACTTTCTGCATTAATACAGTTTCATTGTCACACGTCGGCTCGAACTATGAGGATGAGTGATTTTCACTCACCTCATAGTTCTCCTTTAAGGAAAATAAACGATATAATTCTCATTTAACATTAATGTGAATATTGACCATGGCTGTGCATATGTGAAATCTTACAACTCTGTAACAGCACAGGCAGAGAGCATAGGAAGAGATAAACTTGCAAAGATTTCTGTCAGGACCAATCTGTATGTTCTGCACTTATCAAACAGATATAACAAAACACTTTCCATTGTATATATGAAAGATCAAAAGAGACCAAATAAGAGAAGTTTATTGGTAAGGTTTACATACTCTAAGCTAAGCCCACCTTTCTCAAACAGGGTTTCCTCCAGAGGTTGCTCGGGGTTCTATCAGCACTTAGGTAGGAGGACCCACATAAAAAAAAACTGCTGTTTGCGCAAGGTGCCTGCCAGAGGCAGTATTGGTTGAAATGTACTACATTTGGGGCGTTAAGGCGGGAATCAAGAAGAGAAAGAATTTGCTTTCTGTTTCAGCTTGACAAGTCTGTGTTGAAATTTCCAGTTGGACTTCCTTGTGGAGGCTTTTTGCAGAGAAACACAGAACAGGTTCCTGAGTTAGCACGGTGCAAAGAGGCAGTCATAGGAGAGGATGGAGAAGACATTGCGGGATCACCTGCTCCGGGCTTTGAATGAATTGGAAAGTGAAACTTTAAAGAGCTTCCGAAACAAATTAACTGATTGCAGGATTAAGGAGGGCTATGAAAGGATCCCCAGAGGGAAGCTGGAGAATAAAGACCGCGAAGACCTCGTCAAACTGATCTTCCAATACTATGGGGATTCATACGGTCCGGAACTTACTGTAGGCGTTCTAAAGGCCATCAATGAGAACAACGTGGCAGCAGATCTTCAGAAGCTTCTGGGAAAAGGTAAAGCTGACAGCAGACTTTAAACAGTAATTACCCACGACTGATCCTTCATTTTACTATGATCATGGCACAAACATACACTCCTTGATCTCCCAAGGGTGTGTTTATGCAGTGAGGTCTTTGTGTAGATAACCCCCAGTGCGTATGACCTACACTAGGGACATTGAATGGAGGGTGACCTACACTAGGGACATTGAATGGAAGGTGACCTGCACTAGGTGCATTGAAAGGACGGTGACCTGCACTAGGTACATTAAAAGGTGGGTGACTGTACTGGGGACATTGAATGGACTGCAACCGGCATTAGGTACAGTCACACGTCGGCTCGAACTATGAGGATGATTGAATGGAGGGTGACCTGCACTAGGTACATTGAATGGAGGGGGACCTGCACTAGGGACATTAAATGGAGGGTGACTGTACTGGGGACATTGAATGGAAGGTGACCTGCACTATGTACATTGAATGGAAGGTGACCTGCACTAGGGACATTAAATGGAGGGTGACTTTACTGGGGACATTGAATGGACTGCAACCTGCACTAGGTACATTGAATGGAATGTGACCTGCACTAGGTACATTGAATGGAAGGTGACCTGTACTAGGTACATTGAATGGAGGGGGACCTGCACTAGGTACATTGAATGGAGGGGGACCTGTACTAGGTACATTGAATGGAGGGGGACCTGTACTAGGTACATTGAAAGGAGGGTGACCTGCACTAGGGACCTTGAATGGAGGGTGACCTGCACTAGGGACATTAAATGGAGGGTGACTGTACTGGGGACATTGAATGGAAGGTGACCTGTACTAGGTACATTGAATGGAAGGTGACCTGTACTAGGGACATTGAATGGAGGGGGACCTGCACTAGGTACATTGAATGGAAGGTGACCTGCACTAGGTACATTGAATGGAGGGTGACCTGTACTAGGTACATTGAATGGAAGATGACCATTTTGATGGAGTACAAAAGGGCTAAAACACTTGTCGGTTTATGTTTTTCTGACTTTTTCCTGTTCTTAACAAAGTGACAGTTGTCCCCAGAATGGTGTCCTCATTTGCAGATTTCTCCTTAGTTTTTTGTTTTGGTAACAACTCAAAAATGTTCATTTTCCCCCATCACTTTCTGTACCAGAAATAATAGTCACAAGGACAAACAGAAAGCTGAGAATTTCCCCAATAGCAACGCAAACGGCAATACAAAACCTGACAAGGGTGCTTACCCCTCCTGACTCCATACTAAATAAAAAAAAAATATGGCTTTACATTAGGGTGACCATTCGTCCCCAATTTCCGGGGACAGTCTCCCAGATTGAGGAGACCGTCCATGGACATATTATGTCCCTGGAAATGTCCCCAGGAACATAAAATAATAATAAAAATGTTTTTATTTTTATACTCACCTGATCTCTGGATCCACTGACAAGCTCAGCCTCCCGTCACCCACGCTGTCAGAAGCTGCGTACAGCGTGTGCCGGTTACTATTTAAACCCGCGCGTGCTGTATGCAGCTTCTGAGAAAATACGCTATTAGCATAGCGTGGAAGCCGGCTTTCTGGCCAATCAGGAAGCCGGGAGGCGGGTCATTACTCGCCGCCCAGCTTCCTGATCGCACGGGAAGCCGGCTCCATGTTCCCCTACGGCAATGCCAGTCGGAGGAAATCTTCCTCTAAATGGTTGTTCGGGGATTGGGTTAGGTATCGGAGCATTTGGGCGACTACGGGTACTCACGCAAATACTCGGTATCGGTGCATCCCTAACAAATACCCTGCATATATCATTTGAGGAAAATATGCTAATACAATATTTTTTTTTTACCATTTGCCAATTTTTAAAAATGTTCCCAGGTTTTTATTCTAAAAATCTGGTCACCTTAATCTTGGATAGACATAATGTTTTGCTGGACTCTCCTGGTTTTTCCATGGGCGGTGTCTGTGCATCCTTTTTCATGATATATATATACTGTATATATCCACATTCTCTATATGTATCATCAATCTATAAAAATATATAATACATCCTAATAAGGCCTCAGCCTGTCCATAAATTAATATGCATGAGAAAAAAAAAAGAGCATATACCGTATTTTGCGGTCCATAAGACGCACCGGACCATAGGGCGCAGGGAGGTCCGGCGCGCCTTATGGAGCACTCTAGACTGTAGCTTCTGTGACAGCTTCTATGACAGAAGCTGTGACAAAAGCTGCAGTTAGTGACCGCTGAGACAGGTGGCGCTGTGATTACAGCGCCACGGTCTCAGCGATCACACAGAGCAGACGGAGAAAGTCCGTACTTCGTCTGCTCTATGGTTATCTCGATCATCGCCGCTGCTCGGTTTTAATACGAGTGATCTCATTAGATCACTACTCGCCCGGCGCCCGAAACTGCATGTCTCGGGCGTCGGGATTCACTCCATAAGACGCAGGCACATTTTCCCCCTCCTTTTGGGGGGAAAAAAGTGCGTCTTATGGAGCGAAAAATACGGTATATATATATATATTATTAGGTATGCACCAATACCATTACGCTGATACTGTTGCTTGAAAAAAATTGGCTGGCGTAAGGTCCCATGCTTGCTGAGGACCTCACGGCAGCATAGGGGCGACCTTGCAGCACCTATTTACAGTACCAATCACACATCTCCTCCCTCCTCCTCCTTCCCACAGCCTATGCCAGCTTGGACTCGCCCACACAGCCTTCGACTCGCCCGCACAGCCCTGGTGAGACCCTGAAGACATCAGGCCACCACCCTGGAGCTGCACAGAGTATGTAGCTTTATATTATTCTGCATTGCTGTATAAGGTATTTGCCGGGATTTGTAGTCCTCTTTTGCTGGTAGTACTCTGCATTGCTGTATAATGTATTGCTGCGTAATGAACCTCCGTGGTGGATTAGTGCCTTTTCATCCGCTTCTGTGCGCTTTTCTTTTGGTGCGGAGGCGCCCCTCCTGATCCACCGTGAGGCTTGAAATCACTTCATTCATGTCTCTCCTCCATGACAGATTATAAAGGGCACCACCGGGAAAATAGAAGCGAGCCCAGAAGCGGCTTCTAAATTAACAAAGCGACACTGGAGAATAAGGCGAATTGAAGCCTCACTTCTGCAGTGGATCAGGAGGGGCGCCACCGCCGTTTGGTTGGAGGACTTGTCCCCCGGGGGGGCAACTCTGAGTCTTTGCCCCGGGTGACTAGCTTCGCCTCTGCCTGGATCCTCTGACGAGCGCAGCCTCTCATCTCCCACGCTGTCAGAAGCTGCATACAGCGTGCACCGGTTTAAATAGTTTACCATTTGCCAATAAAAAAACAAATGTCCCCGGATTTCATTTTAAAAATCTGGTCACCTTGCTTTAACCCCTTGCTGACCGTGGTGTTTATACTCCCTTCCTGGCCAGGCCATTTTTCAGTATTCAGCGGTGCGGTACTTTGACTGACATTTATTCCGTCATGCAGCGCTGTACTGAAATGAATTTTCTACCATTTTTTGGGGACACATAGAGCTTTCTTTTGGTGGTATTTAATCGCCACTGGGGGTTTTTTGTTTTTACTATATAATGAAAAAAGTACCGAAAATTTTGAAAAAAAACCCTGTTCTCCCTATGTTATGTTATAAAACATTTATTATTACCCAATTTTTTGGTAAAATATAAAAGTCGGGGTCACGTCGGGTAAATAGACACCAAACATGTCAAGCTTTAAAATTGCGAGCACCCGCTAAATCGCAAAAAACTACCATACCTAAAATTGACCATAGCCGACGCTGTAAAAGCTTTTACCGCTCATCAGTTTAGTGTTATCAGTGATTGATGGCGCTAAAATTATTGCTCTCACTGCGACGTTTGCAGCGATACGTAACATGTGCGGCGCAATGGATGTAATCGTCGTTTTCGCACGTAGGCGGGCTTGACGCATGTTTGCGTGTGGGGGCGGGGGACTTTAATTTTTTTTTTATTGCTTTGATATGTGATTTTTAATATTTTGTAATTTTTTTTCTAACTTACATTTTGTTAAACCTTTTTTTTTTCACTGAACTTTGTTGCTATCACATAGGGAGCAAACAAGCTCCCTATGTAATAGCCAATTTGCAGTGATAGGTCCTCTTTATGGAGACATCAGGGGTCTTAAGACCCCTAATGTCACCTTGGGACCCCCAGAGAAGCTGATGAAGCAGAGCCCTGCTTCACCAGCTTCTCTACGGTTTCTGTACCGGAGAGTGACACTGAATGCAGGAAGTGATGTAATACACGTCACTGCCTGCATTCCGAAGAGGAGGAGGAGATCAAACGGAGATCGTGTACTGAGCTCCGTTTGATCTCCGGCCGCAAAGCTGCTGTGCTGGTCTCGGGCTCACACCTGGCACAGCGGAGCTCGGGATCGCCAGCAGCGGCGGCGACAGAGGGGGCGCACACCCGACCGGATATTACAAGCGATCGGGCGTCTCTACAGACGCCCGAACGCTTGTATGTAAACAGCCATCGCTGGCTGTTTACATTCAAAGCCGATTTTCCGCTCGTGCGCGCCGCCTAGCGGTTAAAGTAGGGTCTCCATTTTGGTGTGTGTGTGTGTCCCATTGGGGAGATTTTCTTCCACTTCCTGTGCTAGAGACTCAACAAGAAATTAGAGGAATTCTTCTCTTGGAAAGTTGTCAATGGAAGTGTCCTCATTGAAAGATTTACCATCCCCTCTTGTTCTGACA